AATTTTTTATATAAAAATATCCATTAATGTTATAAAAATATCAATTATTCCATAAATGAAGCCATTTATGTTAAAACACACACACACACACACACACACACACACACACACACACACACACANTAGTGACGTCTTCATCATGTTTCAGTAATTCTTAACATTTCTTCAGCTTAACTGATACAGTGTTACGATTATTTCTTCTTCTGTCATATATATATATATATAAAATGTTTTTGAATTAATTTTTTTTTCATTTCTAGAAAGAAAAAATGGAGAAAATTAATACTTCATTAGTTAATTTTACTGTTAATGAGGTAAGTTTATTTTATTAATTGTTTATAATGATTTATTTTGGAATAACTTATATTATAATAGTTTATTCTATAATAATTTATTTTATAAATTTTTTTTATAATATATTTTTATAATACTTATGAAATAATATAAGTTTGATAATAGTTTTTTATGATAATTTTTAATATAATAGCTTCTTTTACAATAATTTGTTTGGAAAATTACAGTTACTCTTTTTAAAATATTTTCGCTTCAAAACACTCTGATTACTAAGTTGATGCGAAGAATAATATTGAACTTTCTTTGAAAATATTTTAATTTATAAAAATTTATTAGAAAGTCATTTAATCCTCTTGTACCATTTCTAGCAGGATAATGGTATAGAAAAATCATATGACATCATTATTAATGAACTAAAATGACCTGAATATCTTTGACTGTCAGTCAGCATAAAATCAGTAAAAGCTGTAAAGCAAAAGATCCTTAATTCTTTATTTACCCTTGTGTAACAATATTTATCAGTAATGCTAATTTATCACCCATTTTTATGACTATTCTGTTATTATTATGTATTTCATTTTGGCTACTTTACAAAGTTAAAAATTTAAAATTGAAATGTTGCTCCTTTATTGTATAATAAATTAAAATTAACTTTTCATATAAAACTGTTTCTTAGAGTATTTTGCGACTATTTTACAATTATTAACTGAAGAATGGATCATATTTACATTTAAAAATTAAATTGTATTTACTTATACAACAAATTTGAAGGAAATGTCGTTTAAATATGCAATAAAAGTAAATAATTAAAATTCTAAAGTAATTTAAAGAAACATAAAACTTTGTTTTTAAAAAGTTGTTTTCAATGCGAAAAATATTTAGTAAGTTTTGATCTCAACAAAAGTTCAAGTAAGAATTTGAAAAACACGATTTTGGATGAAGATGAAACAATGAAATTTACCGGTTTGAAATTCTCTTCCAATGGAATTGAAAATTAAGTTTGTGGAACTAAGTCTGTGCGAATATCGGAAGAAAAAAACTTCGAGTCTTTAGCAGCTATTGTGTCATGGTAAAAACTGTCTGTTACTGATAACTAATTTCATGGTGATAACTGTCTGTTTATCACCATGAAACAAAAACTATTGCAATCCAATCGGGGTCAATGATGATAGATGCAAGCAATGATCTAAGATTTTTTGTCCTTATTTTAAAAACGACATTTTCAAATAATTTTATTTAAAGTTGTACATAGTATTCCTGAATAACCGTTTTTTGCATTTTTAGAACTTTCCAAAAGCAATTTACAATAAGTTTACGAATTAAGGGCAGAACTGTAAAGTCAGTAATTGTGATCCGAAGTCAGCTTCGATTTCCGATTCTTTGGGGTGCTTAAATCTTACTCTTGGTAAAATTACCATACTCTTTGGTAATGGCATTCCAAATAAAAAGAACAACGTTCTAGTTATTAAAACCAAGATATGTAGGTGATAAAACCAAAATATGTAGAATTTTATCCAATCATTTTGCAATTTTTTCGTTATGACTGTAAGTGTTGCCGGAAGTTCTGATTTTCAAAATTATAGTTATTGCCTTACATTTAATTAAAATCATAAAACTGAAAAGTAAATTTAACCGAATAAAGGGTTTTCTTAACATGCTCTAAGGTAAAGGCGAGCAACGTGCGGCCCATGGCCGCAATCTGAACAAAATGAAAAAAAAGCAATTTTTTAAAAAAAAAAAAAAAAGAATCGAAAATTTTAAATTGACGTATACGTATTTAAGTTTTTGACGTGCCCAATTTCAATCAATGTAGTTTTTCGATCGCTTTTCTTCAATGGTTAACACTATGTATTTAAGGATAGTGTTGAAAATCCAGATAGTTTTAATACATCAATATTACGATATACGAATTTCGAATTTTAGTAATCATTTTTGAAGCTCTTCGTGTGTGCCGATTTCATCGTAAATCCAAAGACTTTTCAGTAGTAATTGCTACCCAGTTTCACGTAGTTTCTGAAATCACGAATTTTGAAAGTTATGAAACGCTTTATTTGTGCAAACTTCATGGAAAATCCAAATGATTTATGATCTTTTTTTTCGGCAGTTATTGCTACACATTTTCACGTGGTTTTTAAAATTTATATTTCAGCACAATATTATTGCGATTCGCGAGTAAGGAATAGCTCATTTAGATAACTATTTTTAACGTGATTTATCTGTACCTATTTCATCGCAAATCAAATATTTTTTAATCGTTATTTTGTCAATTATTGCTACACATTTCTGCAAGGTTTCGAAAGTCCCAATATTTTTTAAACGCTATCGGGATAGTTTAATTTCAAATCCCAGATTTAAATACATAAAATTTTGAGGCGCTTTTTCGCCAATTTCATCGTAAAATGCATTTTGATAGTTTTTTTGGCAATTACTACTACGCTTTCCACGGTATTCCTATTCACGCGATTTAGAAGCTATGTATCGCTATTCATATTTACGCATTTTGAAAATCATGTGTTGTGAGTAGTCTTTTTTCAATTTAAGAACCACACACCATATTCACGCTATTTGAAAATAACGTTTTCTACGTTTTTTATTTGACCAATGTAAAAACCGCATATAACAATTCATATTCAAGCAATTAAAAAATAACACATCGCTATTCGTATTCAATCAATTTAAAAACCAGGAAAGAAAGAACACCGTCTGGGACAATTCCCAAAACTGATTAAGTTATTTACTCTTAAGTTTAATACTACCCGCAACAACAGCTTCGGTCGAAAGACTCTTTTCCAGAATGAATTTGACCTGTTCAAAATTACAGAGCAGTCTTTAAACAAAATCATTACATTTTCATTTAATTGCTCGAAAAAGCTATCACATGATCAAGTGAATAAAATTATTTCAATATTTAAAAATTTTACAAATTACAGGATAACCATTAAGACATTTTTAAATCCTTTTCTACCTACTTGGACAATTTTATATCATTTTTCATTATATGATGGGAAACGATTTGTATATCAGTAAGTTTTAACTGTAAAAAATGCAATCAAAATAAGTTTCGTAAAGTAATGTAAATTTTATTGATTTTTAATGTATATGTGTATTAATTGCAAATAGTAAGTGTCACGTTAAAAAATTTTTCATCATAAACACTTGTAAACAATAGTTTTTCATTATGAAGGAAAATAGTTCTTTCAAAATTAATGCCTTCTTTCTTTCTTTTTCTTTCCTCTGTCAGCCCCTGCCTCTTATAATTAATTTAAGATAAATGTTTAAAGTTTAAGTATATTCTCTACTGAATGCTAAATCTTATTTTCTGATGAGGAGGTTTTGTTTTAATTCTAATCATTCTTTTAACCCCATAAACTTTCTTTAAATCAAACTATTTTACTTGCATTTATTTTAATAACTAGAATATTTATTTATTTTTTAAATTTTAAATCCATGAACAAAATGTTTTTATCTTAAAATTAATTCTTAAATGAACTTTTGTATAATGTAATATCATAAGAAAACACGAATTTTCCCATATTTTTTTAATTATTTCAATTCATCAAATTTTTTTTCTGATAAATTGATTCTGTTTTTCGGATTCTGTTTTTTTTCCTTAAGTAATCAGTTTTGAAGTTTCCAAATTTAAACATTTAAAAGAAATTAATTTTATGCAAAGATATTACAAGGCTAACTGACAAAAATAATTGTGTGCCTAGAACAATGATGTTTATATAACAATTACTATCTACAATTGCTGTCAATATGTATGTCTAAATACTTAGGCATGCTGCCCTTCACTGGTCATTCCGCTGTGCTGGTTGTCCTTCTCTCAGAAAGGTTGTGCACCCCTATTCTATGGTATGATAAATTTGCCCAAGTTTAAAACATTTACTAAATAAAATCAATAATTCAATAAATTAATTTTAAGCTTAATAACGGTTAAAAATGTTATAAGTTATAATTTAAATGATTATTTTATACTTTTGACATTTAATAAAATTTTAGTTAAATTATTTTCGTAAGATCAAAAATGTGTTTTCCTTCTCAACATAATAACTTTTGACTAATTGTAATCTTTTTCAGATTCCTTATCTCCGAGTTCGCAGTTCTGATTTGGGGGAAAATATAGGGAAAAGTATATGTAGAATAGAACGAGAGGCAATTCATTGCTTGTTCACAAATCACGACTAACACACGAAGAACTGAAAACATCCTTTTCATAACCGGATGAATTTGAACCAGAGAGGAATTGAAGACAAATATTAGTGACGTCTTCATCATGTTTCAGTAATTCTTAACATTTCTTCAGCTTAACTGATACAGTGTTACGATTATTTCTTCTTCTGTCACATTATATAGCGCAAAAGCTCGGTGACGGGATTTTCTCTAATCGTAAATCAGGCCGAAAGCTTTATAATCGGACGTGGTCCATTTTCGGTATTTTCGTAATTTCTTTGGGTAATATTAGTTCAAGGTGTAAGTTCAATGATGTAATTAGTGTAGTATGGAAATTTAGTTAATGCTTAGGATAATTTTAATCCAGTCAATGTTATACAGATGGTAAATTCCGTAAATTACATGACTTATCTTAACTGTACAATTTATTGATTAAGCTTCTATATCTGTATTAATATTCATAGGTACTTCTCTTGCTTAAATTCTCATATTTTTATTATTTAAAATTATTCTCATATTTTTATTGTAGATCGAGGACTTTGCTGATGCTTCGAACGTCCTGCTCTATATTTGGGTACCATTGGGGATTGCCCTCCTACTATTTGTTGTTCTTCTAATTTTATTCGTCACCCCCCCAAAACGGCCGAGGAAGCTTAGACGGGGGGGAACAATCAGAAAACAGAAACGTCCAAGTAAGAAAATTTTATTTTCTACCTGGTATTGTTCATTGAAAATGATTATCAATTCAACAATTACAGTTTAACAAATTTAAGAATAGTTTTATGAAGCTTGTTTTTGAAGGATAAACTAATTGACTACGAGAGATTTTTCTTCAAAAATACTGTGCCCAAGAAAGTTTCAAATTGTCTATAGAAACAAAAAGCATGTTCATAAGTTTTTTCAACTCTGTTAAAATAAAAATAAAATGCTTATATAACCTAACACCATCTGCAGATAGTTTAAACTATTCTGTTTGTAGTAATTACGATTCTAATAATAAAAATTCATGCAAATGTCATAAAGACAAATTTAAGCAAGTAAATTTAAATTAAAAGCTTGAATAATAAGTTTAAATTAAAAGCTTAAATAATAAGTTTTAATAAGTTTAAATTAAATGTGAGGCAAGCAAAATAAAAAACAGACCACCCAGAAAAACTTTCGATAGAATGATTGGATTCTCACGTTCTCTTAATGATTCTATCTTAATGACTCTATCTTAATGATTTGAGTAAGTTATCTCAAATATACTAATTGATAAGTGAATACGATATTTTAAGAATAAGACACAAAAATGTACTTTCCCTAAATAAGCATATCTTTTCTTTAAGGATTCGGATTTCCAATCCCCAAAGTATGATGGGTAGCCACTAGCTATAAAATATGGTCCTAATAGTTAGATCGATCGATCTTGTTAGACCTAATAGAGCGATCTGAAGTTTGAACCTCTTAATGTTAATTTTACTGTCTGCGTATTTTACCATATCTCGAGTACTTTTAAAGAGAATTGAAAATTTGCACACAATTAAAAAAATACTTTTATCCGAAGAAGATTATACACAAAAATATTTATTAGTAAAAACTTATTTTGTATTATTTTTAATAATCTTTAAAAAGAGTTTGAATCGTAAGGTATGAAATTTTTTACATCATTTTAAATAAAGTAATTTTACTTAGCAAAATACAAAATTCAAGCCAAATTATCTTGGTTGTCTGCTGATTTTGATCATGATTTCAATATTACGAATTACATAGCTCTTTGCATACATTTTTCGATTGAACAGGAAAATAAGCGTTTAAAATTTCTTGCACGTTCTTAGTACTCGTAATTGCGATAATTTTCTCATTGCTGTTTATCGGAAACTATTTACGGATTTCCTCATAAACTTTCATCCCATCCTTCCAACCGAATAATAGCTGCCTTTCATGTACTTGTTTACCATGTTTTTAAAATTTGCTCAAATAGTTATCTCCTCAATAAAGATCTTCTTCACCCTAAAGTTATTGCTGTAGACAGCGTTTTTCCTTCTAATATTACGGATTCCACTTATAGAAAAAATATCTCGCAATTCCCCAAACTCTCTCATTCAAAATTTAAAAATTTGAATGTTTTACTTTATTATCTGAAAATCAGTTTTAAAATTGCTAAGCTTATGAATAAATTTGAGTTTAAAGTAGTTTTTCGTCTGTAAATAAGCTAAATTTTACCAATCTAAAACACCCTATTGTTGTTTAACTGGTGTATTTATAGAATTTCATCTCTATGTGGTCTTGCGTATATTGGAAAGACTTGCTTTACCAATATTCTTTGGCTCTACATAGTCAGAATTCAAATTTCAAGTTTAATTTTTGCTACAATTATCTATTACAGTTCGTTATTTAGAGAGTTATGCTTCATGATATATTTTCACAAATTCAAATAATATTTAGTTAATTTTCGTTCTAGTAATCACCGTTTCTTAATATGTGGAACTGCATTTTAACATCTTGTGGTTTCCGTCAAAGCCCCTTCCATCTCCTCTGCTTCTTAAATGACTTTACATGGCTTTGTCTCTTTACTTTCTCTGACATGTTTAAAAATTGAGTAAGGTCCTCGCTTATGAAACTGAAACTATAGTATGCCCATTTATATTCATTCATTTGTGCTTCATTCACGTTTGTTTTTGTTTTAGCCTACATAGCACAAAGTGTACCCTATCTTTTTTTAATTTTGCAATAATGCACCACACTGGTTAATATAACCAAGCCTAAGTTTTTTTATAAAATTAAAAAAAATATGCTACCAATTGGATATGTAAAGCTAAAATTAGATTTTATAATGGATTGAAACATATATTGGGTTGCCTCACGGGGCATATTTATTATATTTTATTTAAACATGCATTGTGAAATAATTGTCAAAAAACACTCATATTGTTGTTGTTTCCTTTTTATTGGCCATGGAGATCTCATGATAAGATCTTAATAAACAAAGAAAACCCAGATTTCTTTGATTGAATCATGAAATCAATAAAATTATAAGACATTTCAATGATAAAATATATATTTAAACTATATTTAATGCTCTGAACCTCATATATATCTTTATAACCTTTTCTTAGTAATATTCTCTGCTATTAATCTGCTCTGCTATCTGCTGAGATTTTAATAATTTTACCATTTAAAAGTTTAAAAGTAAATAAATTATTTTCTTCTAATAATGCATTTCTAAGACGTTTCCTTATTGCGAATCATTTTAATATAAACATTAAATATTTATCATAAAATGTTGAAAATTTTTAAACCGTATCTAATTTATCAATTTTTTTGCAAATATTGCACAGAAAACAAATATTTATTTGCATAATAAAATTTATGTATAACTATTTCAACATATACAATTAAAATCATGATTAAAAAATTGAATACGTTATTAGTATTTCACTGTATAATGTTAAACATATGTCTTCGATTGAAATTAAAGCCTAATTATATACGTCTTGAGAGAATTGAATGTGCGGTTTTTGTTTCGTTGCACGTAAGCGATGTAGTATGTCTTCACTCATGTTGTCTATGTATTTTTACCTTTTTACCAAAGATTTCTTGGATTGGATGGAATGCACGTAGTTAATATTATTGAAAACAACGTGCCCATTTACTGTGGTCGAGTAGTATTAGATGCATCAGCCATTATAGCGTCCCAATGTGCGTCGTTTTCAAGAAGATGTAATTTTTGGCAAGCTTTGCGATAAGTTGCGCATACTTCATTGTTTACTGTTCTTAATTCTAGAAACGATGCCGGACCTCGCACGTTAACTAATAGTAATCGTAGAATTTTTTCTGTTCATTTACAAATATTTTTCCGATGTGCATTGTATGTTCCTTCTCCTAACATTTTCCAGACTATAATATAAAATTGAATATTACCCAGTTATCCAGGATCAATTCTCTCCGATCAAAGGATTTAACCATCTTTAGCTGAACATATTATTGTTCTCACAGAAAACATATTCAATAATTACATTAAGAGATAATATATGACTCTATCTAGAGACTGGGTGATCAAACTTTTTCACAGTTGTGAGTTAATACTATCAGAACAAGCAATTTGCTTGAACCAAATTGTTTGAACCAGAATTAAAGTTAGCTTAGTTAGAATTTTTTAAAAATAGAATTATTTCATGGACAAACATGGCCACATTATTTGCAGAAAGCTTTGTTGGCGATTTTCTGCACCACTTACAAAATTTTAACAAAGCCATTGAAAAATCTCAAAAGTTTGTGTTGACTGTCGTAAAAGTAGCAAGAAAAGTCTTATGAATATAATCTTTTTTTTAAAATTTTCTTACAACTTTGTTAATTTTCGTCTGAAGAATATACACCGTAGCTCTAACTAATTTATTAATCATAGAAATATTTTGCAATTAATTTATTTCTCTCGTTCTCTTTAACAGAAAATACGACACCATTAAAAAGCGTGAAGATTAAATTTTTACAAAGAAGAGATAATTTAAGGAATGCAGTGGATGAAGACGTGGATGATGGTTTTACAGTCGAAAATACCAGTGAGTAAATTAAATGTACCATCAGATGGGGTGACTTTGTGCAGGAATTTTCAGTTTTCTGACTTTGACCTAATTAAAAAATAGTTAAGAGATACTGAATTGTAGAGCATCTGATCTAACATTTGTAGTTAGCCCTCTGGGAAGTAATTGCACGTAGCTAAGAGCTGATTTGAAATGTTTATTATTTGTAAAAAAATTTATCGAATACGCAAAGTTACCCCGGAATGGGGTGACTATGCGCAATGCAATAAAATAATGACTGAGTTCAGTTATTTTCATTCACTTTGACTTAAAATCGTTTAAGAATGAACAATATTTAACATTGTTAACGTACAATGCAAGTATATTACATATAAATATGTACTATATATTAACAAATCTACTTAAGATGAACAAAAAACTTTAATTTTAAGATTTTTTAACGTTTTTAGATTTTCTTCTTATTAATTAAATCTTAAGTAACTTTTTTTTTGATTTTCAGGTACAATCAAACATTTGATATGAATTGACATGAATGAACAGTTGAATGAATTCGCTCAAATAGCGCCCCCAATTTCAATCCAACTCTGCAACTCGGAATTATCCTCTCTTATTAACATTCTCTTATTAAATGTCTTAAAAAAGTAACACATAGAAATTGAAATGAAATATAGCAATATGAAAATGAAAAATGATGGGCACAGTCGGCCTCGGCCCTCTTAATGGGCTGTCGCGCCACTGAGTTAGTTAGAAAATGAAAAATAATATTCACCGTGAGATTTCGAATGCTTCGCATGAATTTTGTCCAAAATCGCGTTTCGGTGAATTCCGAACTTTTTTAACGCTTTTGAAACGGATAAACCCTTTTTTACTTTATTGCGACGTTAAAAATTTGAAATTGTTTGTAACTTGAGCTGATAATTTTCAAAGAACATGCCGATGATGTTTACATTGCCCGTTCTTAGTAAACCATTAGTTCTTTATGTTGACCACTCATAAAATACCCCTAGAAGGCAAGATGCAAAAATTGAACAAAATGACAGTTTGCACAAAGTCACCCCATCTGACGATAATTTGAAATGTGTGCATTAATATAGCTTTTTTTCCGGTTTTTTAATTAAAATTTCATTTTTTTTTAAATAATATGTTGTTTGTTATTTTTTACTTATTATTTCCCACCCCCTTTTTTTCATATGTCTATAATTTTTCTTTGTTTTATTCTTCATTTTGAACTTATCTAATGAGTGCTGTTTACTTGCAGCTTAAGCGCAATAAATGATACTTATTGTTTTTCTTAACTTTCTTAGTGTTTTCTTGTATTTATTTATTTAT